GCTTTTAGTTTTTGCCTTCTATTGAAGCGGGAGTATCAGCAGTTAGTTTAACTGATTTGCTTTAATTTAGATGTAGAACGCTCTGTTCTTCACGTGCAGTACACAGAATGGCCGGACTTTGGAGTTCCTGCATCTACGAAATGTTTCTTGGACATGCTCAGATATATTCAAAGTAAGTGTGACTCAGATTTTTGTTTCATGACTTAGAGATGCATTCCCAGGTCATAACGTGCTTAGCGTGAAAGATGATGATCCTCCTTGTGTGGTACACTGCTCAGCTGGCATTGGCCGATCTGGTACATTTATCCTTGTCGACGGAGTTTTGAGAATGGTTTGTTTGCAAATCTCTTTGTCACTGCCATCGACGCATTCTATCTTGTTTCAGATCGAACTTGGTATCCCCGAGTCTGAAATATCATTGAATGACCTCTTGGTGGACTTGAGATGGTTAGTGGTTTGTGTGGGTTGAACTTTCCTCTTTTCAACATTTTGTCTTATAGTCAACGTTTCGGCCTGATACAAACACCTCAGCAATTGATGTTCAGTTGGCATGCCATCGTAGATGCACTTCAGCAAATGAAAAACGCGAAGGTGAGCAACTTTTCCGATTTAAATACATCACCTTCATATAGCCGTATCAAACTAGTAGTCTAGCAAGATTGAATGAATTTTTTCGGTTAGGCTTCACTTTCCCACAACTCTTTTTCTATCATATCTCCATTGTTTGATCTCTTTGATACTTATTTTCACTTTCTCTCCACATAATGTCAAGATGCTTTTTTATTAACAGTTAGTTTAGCCTCTAATGCTTTGTATGTGTTATAACTCAAGTCATGCTATCTTGTTTGCATACTGCCACCTTAGTAGCTTTAGAGCCAAAATGGAACTGACACAGCTGTGAGCGCTGATCTCCCTTCACCTGTTGACAGGAAGGCTAAACGCAAAACCGACGACACCGAAACCGAATCGACGGATGATCGTCTTGCAAAGAGGTGGGTTTTGACCTTATGTAAAATTATGGCAATGCGCTTAGGTATTCTTAACACTAAGCATATGATGATTACATAATTAGAGTGATATCCATAAATTTATCCCGATGCAGACGCTATTGATTGTGTTTTGTTAAATTGGAAGCATAATAGAAATTTTCATATGATCGGGCTACGAACATTGTTAAAGGCAGCGTCCAAGCAAATCTGGACCTATGGGGCTCTCACGTGGAAAGTAATC